TCATCTAGTACCGTCAAGGGGCTATTCACAAAGTACCAGATCTGCTCTCATATCCTCAATTATCTGCAGTACAACCAGTTGCTTCGGAGCGTGGCCCTCTGCAAAGTCCCACCTACCTGCCACACTGGAAGAATGTCAAACCCTTACCATTTCGAGTGCAAACACGTGTAGTTTCCCCTATCAGTTTCAGACCTTTTATTGCATTTTCGCTGCGCTCGTGATCACGTCATCACACCGTCTCGGCTTCGAGCCCACAGAAAACAGGGCTCCTTCCCCTTGAAGACAAAACAGATGCTAGAAATCAAATTCTGGCTTTTTCAGAGAGCATAACATCCCATTTGACACTGCTGACCACGATTGATTAATTAAAAATCTTTCCTGAGTGTCATATTCTTTAAAAATGCTCTCTAAAAGAACCAAGTTAAGTGACTCCGTATGAGAGGAACGATTTGGCTGAAAACACTAAAGAAAATAAATTTACCACCATTTTAGACGACACAACAGACATAGACACCACTATGAGTTGTGGAATATTAGTCAAATTATATGAAAGTGAGAAAATACAGAACAGACTGCTGGCTTTGGAGAATAAATATACCTACCAATGACCGTGCAGGAGCAACAGGAGAGTCTCTCTCAGATGACCATGAAATACCTTAAAAAAAAAGGATGTGCCTCAGATGGGGCTAACATTATAACTGGCATCCACAATTCTCTCATGAGTCGGTTGAAATTGGAACTAAGACGTGGAACTGTCCTCAATTGCATATGCCACTCCACATTCATCTGTTCCTTGCATGCCTCAAAGTGCCTTCCTCGCTGGTGCCAAGATCTGGTAAGGAATATATGTTTGCAAAACAAGATGGCTTTCCTATCAAGCAGCTGTTGAGGGATTATTAGAGCAGTGGCATCCTCTTATATTGTACTTTTCAAATCTGAGCTCTGAAGACGACTTGCACACTACCAAGAATATTCTTAATGATCGATCTATGAAACTGTACTTCAAATTTATGAACTATATTCTTCCAAAAGTCAATAAACTCAATCTCTAGTCCAACAAAAAGGGCCTACAGTTCAAGTTATATATAAAAAATGTTTTGAATAAGCAGTGACAAGTTTGAAATGGGATCCAAACAGACTACTCTATGGTGAAATCATGAGTGCGCAGTCAACCACCACACGCTCAATTAAGTCTTGCTCTTCACCCGCTGGTGGTCATACTGCTCTAGCCTTACCCACATCTGTAGTTTATAACATTAAAACTTCCATCTGCTCTTGCCCATCTACTCATTGGGTACATTCGCCTCACACATTTCACCATTCGCCTCACACACCGTCTCCACTTCACAGCAACTCACACATCTTTTTCCCTCACTTATTTTCAGTTCCCCAACCTATCGGCCATCTCTGTTTCTCATTTTCTTTTGACAACTAATTCTCCTCCTCATGATGCATAAATATCCTCTATTTGATATAATTACCCTTTTATCGTGACCCTTCCCCTCCTGACAATACCTATACTTTTTACATTTATTACACCCTCTCTTTCTGCCTCTTCCATCACCATGCTAGCTTAAAATGCCATATGACCATTGAAACTTCAATATTAAAGAAGTAAAATGTTCAAAATGCTCAGATGGGTATGCATTTTTTTTTTTTTTTTTTAAGAAATCGAGATATTTGTTTGTATTAGTTATAAAAAATGCAAGCATAGTTGTGCTTGCATAAGTACTATAAGCATAACTAACTTTAAGGGGATTTTATATGTTCATAGATTTGGGGTTGCTAATCTGGCTTGAAACTACTTACAGTCGCAACCAAAAAGTTTGGATCCTAGGCTCATGGCAAAGGAAATTGTTCCTTATTCAAATTTTCTATACTTCCTGAATTTATTGCCGAGATTACCTTCATAATACAGCTAAACTTTTGAAAAAGGGGCCAGTCCCATGCCCGTTTTTGCCAGAGGGCGGGGCGATTAGGCGACACTTTAAACCCCAATGCTGAGAATCATGACCACCTTGGGGGTACCGTGAGCACATTATTCCCATGTCTAGCCCATGCCCATTATGGAGATCCTAAGGGGTGGATCATTTCAATTTCAGGCTTGCCATGGCCAGTGGTGAGGTTCTCTCTTTTAGTAGGGACAGAGGCTTGTCCCTTTTTCGACTTACCTTCCCAAATGTAACTCCTGATTGACCGACCATTGACTTTGATCACGGCTCCGGCCGCTGGTATTACTACACCCCATCTCTATCTTTGACACGCTGTCAACTTGACCCATCCCATCCATCATCTACTCAGGTTATAAACTACACCATCTTCATTCCTAAGAGCCTCCACCCTCTTGCCACCTACACAATTTTCATTTTCTACCTCCCTTATTAAACCTCTTCCCAATCCTTTGCTCGTTGTCGTCGTGGGAGGGGGTTGGGAAACGAAGACCGAGGCCTAACGTAAGGGATAACCCCTACCTTGGACCTTAGCCCTTGCCTCAACTGATTTTGCATGGTCTTTTCTTGTGGTGGAAGAATGAACGACTGGCATTGTCAGTCCTGAATGGGCTTTGTACATCCAAAAACAAAAGTGATGTCACCTCGCAAGATCTGGCTTGGAGAGAGAGACTTGCCTTGAATGGTGGCCCCCCCCCGAAAAAGAAAAAAAAAAAGAAATGACAACAGGTTCTTTGGTGTAGTTGTGGTCTTGCCTGGAAAGTTTTGGATTCCTTTTAAACAAAAGGATTTGCCAGAGGAAGGGAAAAAAGATCATGCAAAAGTAGTTAAAGCAAGGGCTGAATCCAAAGGTAGGGGTGATCTCTACACTGGACATGTGTTTTCGTCGCCTATGCTCATAGCAATAACTACATGCTGATCGCTTGGAGCATTCAGCACTCCACCACAGAACTCATTTAGGGCAGAAATTGTGGAATGGCTGTGCAGGCTAAACTGAATAGTGCCTGTGAAGATAAGCATGTCATCAGGAAGACACGTGTGATAGATGGAGCATAAATCGGTAAGAGTGTCGGTACTGGACCCCAAGTGCGGGGGTTGGGGTATGAAACAAAGTAAGGAGAGAATAGGAAAATTCTCACTGTAGGTGGTCCAAAACTGACCAATGATAGTGGACAGGATAGCAAGGAGATTAACTTGTGCACCTAAACCTCTTCACAACTTGACTAAAGTGAATGGGGTAGTTTCATGGAAAGATGGTTGAAGTAGAACAGTTTTTGTAATTTAAGTCAATAGGAAGAGCAGGGGAAAGCAAATTCAAATAACCGATTCAACAGTAGAAAATCCGAATAGTTCAAGGGATAGTTTGAAGTAAGGTAGTGTATGGCATTTGGACGAGCAGAGCTAGTGCAGTTCAACTCGGCGAGGACAATATTAAATTTGAATAATGACCGGCTGTGAAGGTACAGTTTTAAGGTTGCCAAAATTAAATGTTCAAATACAATGGGAGGGGGCAGGTTGATATGGGCCAATATGCGGAAGTACCATATGTATGTTATTGCCAAATATTGAAGTTTTTAATTTATAGCCCCAAGGAAGCTTACTGTAGTAATCTACAGATACAGAATTTTAGTCATGACCGTATTACCTGGCCAATTTGTCATACACCGACATCAGCTGGGGATAAAGTGTTACCCTAGAAATTTAGTTAGATGAAAATGTGCTTAGACAAGAGGTCATAGCACTATAGGAGTTAACCCAACCCTATCCCTACCCCTTTCATGTTGGTTAGGCGTTATACATTAATGGTTATGTAGTAGGATGGTACTTAAGGATTAATATAATTAGGTAGATGTGGAGGGGTGAGCAAGTTCAGGATAAACAGGAGAGGATTAGATCAAGTGGAGGATGTATGGTTTTGAGGAAGAGATTTCTATGCAGAAAGTATGGATTCCATCAGGACTGACCAGTTGGTGGGGGGGGGGTGTCGTTGTAGAGAAGACAACATGGGGTGGGTCCAATTGTGACACAAGAGGTACGAGTGCTGCACAATCCAATCCCCCACCATTCCACAATCCAACACCCCCTCTCCCACCACTCCCTAGCAGTGCACAATCTGACCACTCTTATATATAGGGCATTTATTTGGGGAATGGAGATCCCTCTCTTCAAGTATTAATGGAGTCGGGGTTGTACAATGTTAGTTTTACCAGGGAGGTCAACCTGGTTAGATACTACAGATTCAAGACGTACTCAATTGACATGGCACATGATCAGGACATTTGCTGAAGGGGATCTTGTCTTGTTTAAGGCATTTTTTTCATAATACTGGGCTGTAGGGGATATAAAAACCTTATACCATTTAGGTGGGCCAAATATTGTATTCCAAAGAGTAGAGGCAGGAATTTAAGGACGAAAGGTGGGCGTCGTGTGAAGAGGTAGTGAGGCGTTATGGGCAAGAAGGTTGAAGAGTTTGACATGGTATAGTAGGGGGTATTTTGAATAAGTATCAAAGATATTGGAGGTTGAGAGGGGAGTTTGAAGTTGGGTTCTCTGGGTAGATAGTTCATGACGGGTTAGGTTTATAGGCGTTGCCGATGTGGGTAATCTGTTGTTGGAGCCGTCAGGGGGTCGGTAAATCATTAGGGAGGTCATTTAATAAAGGGTCAAGACTCAAATGCCTCTAAAAAGGGGCACAATCTCCATTACTGGTTACAGGAAGCCCCCCCTCAGGGTCCCCATGAGGGATAAGGCCTAGGCAACTAAAAAGGGAGTATTGCCTGTGGCTCTGAGGCCATTTGTGACTAGGACGAAGTTAAACTTTACCAAATCTCTAAAGTTTGATAGCAGTAGAGGAAGGGGTAAGGAAGGTAATGAAAGAAGGGAAGATGGGAGTAGTAGAGTGAAAGTTTAGTCAAGTTGGGCCAATTTACGAAATTTAATACAACATCCTTCATGCAAAGAGGGACAAGGATATGGGGGTGGTGGCAAATGTATCAGGAATGTAATAAACTCCCAAGAAGTTCTAATTAAATATATTTTAAAAATCTAAAACTAAGGCCTGTAGACTGCTTCATACACTCTTGCATTCCTTTCTAGATGTCCATCAAGATCATTTCCGGCATACAGAAGGAAGGTCGTATTCTGGCCAGTATGGAAGAATGGGAACGAGAAGGGTTTCCGTGCAGGTACAGTTTTAACCTGGGGTGGTTGGAAGATTGAGAATTAAATATCAAGGCAATTGTCTGCACAATATTTATCATAAATAGGGGAACTGATAATATTGGTTCTTACCATCCTTTCATGCACGAACTGCATTCCCTTCAAAACATACACGTGAACACCGTGCTCTGTCTGGACGAAGAGACCCACATCATACTTGGCCAATTCTCCAAAATTGCTTGCAAGAGCACCAGGCACCTTTATAGTCTGCAAGAGTCGGCATGTTAAAGCAAAGAACATTAAAGAGTGTGCTCATACATGACCATTGTTAAGAAATACTTGCCTGCATTTTCTTCATCTCCACAGATCCAGATTTATCAGTAACAGTGAATATATCCACACCCCCTGCAGCAACAGGGGAGATACTGTGAGTTACTGCTACATAAGCTTTATGATTTCCAGCCAGGGCATCCAGGTGAGAAGCCTTTTGCAGATCATGGTTTAACTCCTAAGGGTTTAGGAAGGAGAATTAGTTGCTCTCCTAGTCTGGTGAGGAAATAGTCAGCAGTCTAGGGTATGGTAGAAGCTATACTTACCAAGACCATAGTGTTAGAATGCAGATCATATTTGAAGGTCTTTAGGTTTGAGGAAAAGCTGAATGAATCTTCCTCCAGCACAACCAGGTATTCATTACCCAAGGTAAATGCTGCTCCCTGAAATTTACCAGATCATTAGCATTTGCATTTGGTAAATATTTGGTCAACACTGCAAAGTTACCATTCCTCACCTTTACTGCACGTTTAGTACCCAGGTAGTTCAGTAGCCTGTATCCAGTCTGTGCAGTTCCACAGATCACTTCTGATGTGGTTCCATGATCAATCACTGCCAAGCAGTCTTTTCCATTTTCCAGGTGGAATGGCTGGAAAAAAAGAGTTACTTGTTAACATACAAGTCAAGTAATTTGCAAGACCAAGGGCAACCACAGGGTTTTTACATACCACTAAATCTTTGCAGGATACTGTGCTGAAGGAAACGACAGTTTTGCACTGGATTTGGTTTAGGGAGAATACATGGCCATATGAAGTTCCTTGGTCCAGTTCATCTGAAATCTGTAGTAATATTTATTAAATCTGTTCCTGTTCAATACCAGTTACCGTTCAATCTGGCAAGTAGAAGCCATTTTACCTGTTGATATGTTGGTGCAGCAGCATATGGGAAAGTTACAAGCGAATCTCCACATGCAGCCAAGTGATTATTTCCCAAGCCTGCAGCTACCTTGGCTTTAGGAATGCTAATAGTACCTGAAATCACAAGTCCATTAGATGGGGATCTGATGCCAAGCATGTGGGATTTGACCATTTGAATCCCCAAAATGTCCGTTTACGCACTTGTTGGTGGGAAGGCTGCCAACACATCCAAGGGTTCCTTTTCCTCACAGAGGTCCTTCAGCTCATCAGCCAACGACTTCCTTCCAAGCTCAGGCCCATAAATCTGGATACTGGTGTCTTCCCAGTTCAAGCCAACAAATGCATCGATGGAACGGTGTCCCAAGGGACTTGCCAACCTATTAAGAGACAGTACAAGACAAAGGTAATGCATCATACCTATATATATTTTTTTTTAATTTACTTACGTTATTGGTTGTAGTTTATACAAGGTTTCTTGCAATTTGGTTTCATAGAAGTACCACAGGTCAGTAGGTCTTTCTGTAGATTTGGTAGATTCAGATATTATAAAACTATTTCCAGGTAAGCTTTCCAGACAGAACAATCTATGGAGCAAATCTATGGAGCACAAGAAATATTACCTTCAAGCACCATATTAGAGTCTTGTGAAGACTGGATTGCTTCTTCCAGATGATCTCCCATGTTATCAAGGGTGTGTTTCCCATCAAGGAACAAGATTAGGTCTGTCAAATTGTAGCCATTCACAAGGTGGTTTTCAAGAGTTATACTGGAGAAGGTTGGAGATGCTGTGAAGGTTACTTCTGCTGTAATAGTATCTTTACTGCCATCAACACGAACCTGCAGGAGTCGGGTCAAGTCACATACAAGATCTAGTACAAGGTGCATTTTAAAATAATCCAATATTAAGCTACCAACCGTATCTCCATACAGCTTGTCAAGCTTGATGGTGTTGAACATTTGGTCCTGGACCTCCAGGTTCTGATCAACAAAGACCACCTTGTCTTGTCCAGGTACAGATACCGTCACCAAGCCAGCCACACTTTGTGCTCCACTTGTCAGGAGTATAGTATTACTATCTACCTGTACAGTGTCAACAGTACCTCCAACTCTGGAAACCAAGACGGTTAATATACTTTCCATGCCTAAAAATTGGGTTCATTGATGCTCTAGGGCCATACCATATACTTACTCCAGCGTCTTCAAGACCAGGCCTTTGAAGGTGGTAATTCCACCGATAGACTTGGTAATACCACTAGTGTTATGCAGCACAGCAGACTCTTCAAATGCTGATACATCAACACCCTGCAATCAAAGCATTTTTACTCATGGGAATGCTCAATTTTAGCTTTTTTTTTTTTTTTTTTTTTTTACACCTTCATACCTGCACAGTGCTGCCACTGCTCATTGACAAGTCTCCTTTTACAGTCAGCTTTTGATTGAAAGTCTTGGGAGCAGTTATATCTGCACCCTTACCATACTGGACTAAGTTGGTCTTCACATCCAATCCATTGAGGGTTCCATCAAGATCCACAGACCCTAAAGGAGAAATATTTAGTCTCCATTTTCAGGTAGGGAACCTTTTCAGTTCTGGGTAGTTTATGGTTTAACATACCTGCAACCTGGACCTCTGGGAAAGTCTTTGCACCAGTGATGGTCTGGGTTTTGTCAGTCCTCAGAATCCTTTCAAGGTCAAACTGTGGGAAATATTTTTTACAAGTTACATATATGCACCCTTGCTATTCATCCCCATCCCCCCCCCCCCATGATGGAAATTTTAAATAAACCTTACCACATCCGAATCGAGTAGAGAATATTTGTTACAGTGTCCGTTTGCAAGCTAGATACCTCTAGGTTATCTAGATTCCAAGATGCAGTTACCGATTGAGATGTACATTTGTTCTTCAGGACATCAGATGCTAAAGTAGAGAAGTCTTCTCCATTTATCAAACCCTAGGAAGAGAAGATTCCATGTAGGTTTGAAAGATTATACAAATATAATATCCAATATGCTTCATGCCAGTTCCAAGACATACCTTCATTATTACTTCTGCATTCCCAGCAACCTGGGCAGTATCCAGCTGCTTTACACTGGATACAGTGTTATCCATGTCACTCAACCAGAATACACTAGCAAGGGTTGAAACATCTTCATTGTTGAAGGACTTACTGATATCCAAGTCCTTATTGAACACCGCATTACCTAGAAATAGAAATGGTCAATTCCATTCTATGGAAAACAGGCCAAACCTAAGCAAATTTACCTACCATTTACCACAAGATCTCCCAGGACCTTTCCATTCTGCATGAAGGCATCACAGAACTGGCTCATTTCAAGCACAAGGGGACTTCCACCAGCTCTAGGAATAATTACATTTTCGTCTACCGTAATACTGTTTTTGATGTGGACTGGGTTTGTAAATCTTTTCTTGCCAGTGACCTGCAAGACAAGGTCAAGTCATTCCAGAAATTTGTGCTAGATGGTTATAGCAGCCCATCTCTAGAAACCTACCCTTTGATGATTTGAGGAAGACTGCAAGGCTTGCTCATGAAGATGCCACCCCTGGATAGTTCCATCCAAGGTAATTCCAGACAGGGATTCGACCTGGTCTGAAATTTAATGTGCATGCATTGCCAAGAGGTAATTTGGAAAAGTGGGAGGGGAAGAAAATACTTTTATAAATATAGAACTTAAGTACCAAGACCTCACCAAATGTTGTAGAGTTCAGTGTTGTTTGTTCATCAATCTTAGCGGTCACTGTATGCAATCGGCCAAGATGCACACCATCTACATAGATTCCTTGGAAGTTCACAGCAGATGCATCAACATTTGCAAGAGAGTTGCTTCCAGTCAAAGTCTGGGGACCCTCATTAAGGAGCCAAGCAGACTTGTATGCAGCTTCAGAAACACCATCAAAGTCACCTGACCACAAGGATCAATTAGTTTAGGTTGAATTCTTGACCAATGTATTACCAATGCCTTCACCCCTCTTCACACAGACTTACTTTCGAAGTTCAGAGAGGCGATCGAAACAGAACCTTCAAGTGTTAGAGCACCAGAAATGGTTTCAATATCATCCTTGTACACAACCTTTCGTTCAAAACCTGCAAGGTCTGTTCCCTCGGCATTTTGTGCTATTATGGTGTCCATGGCCCTACCAACCAACTCCTGGGTTGAAGTTACTGAAATGCAGTACAAAGCTTAGTACATGCTCAGAAGATTATGCTTAATGATGCAATTGTTCCTAGAGGGCTACTTACCAGATTTCCTCAGGCTGTCATCAAAGAAGATCTCCTTGACCACTACTCCATCGACGGTTCCGAAGTCTCCTACATTCACAGCACCGGCAGATGTTGAAGAGGTTACTTCTACATTTGTGAAAGTCTTCTTGCCTGCAAGAATTATTGCATGTAATGTATCCACTGCTGTTTAAGGGGATTGCCATATCTTTGATTACAGTAAAGCAAAAGTTTTGGTAGTCTTGCAAGTAGTTGCACTTAAAGCTTTGCATTAAGTATTTTAGTTAGTGGTTAGACCTTTTCCAAGACATGTTGCAGCTGTAATTGTGGCAATAAAATTTGCCTTGCACAAGTACATGCAATTCTTGCAAGACTGCCAGATCCTTTAGCATTGAAGACTTACCTCTCACAGTCTCAGTTGCATTAAGAGCAACCACATTGTTAAAGTTTACACCTCCAATCGTTATTTGACCTGCAACATTCAGGTCCCCATTCACATCTGCAGAGGCCATCGACAGATCTTGGACAATGATCTGTGCAGGTCCCTTCTTGAGAACTACATCCTTTGCAAACTTAGCCAGGTTATAACCACTGACCAGACCTGCCGTCACATCTTCACGACACTCCTGGAGAAGGAAGCAACTGCCATAGAATACAAGTTGTAGAATATCAATTTCATTTAGGTTTTGAAGAGCCAGCCACTTACCATATCCGACACGAAGGTCTTTGGAGAGACGATGGTGTGGTCAGAGTCTAGCAGTACATAGTCATCCTTTGCAACTCCATTAATGGTAGAAGACACCGTCATGGCACCAGCAATCTTTGAATGAAAGAAGTTTACTGGTGGTAAGAAAGATCAGGTAAGCCGAGAGGAAGGGTTACTAGGTTTAAACATGGGCTTACCGGAACAGGCTTTTCAAAGGTCAGAGCAGGATTCAAGCTTGTGGCAGTGAGGGGAATAGCAGTATCCCGGATCTTGCCAATACTAACACCATGGATCTTGTCACTGGTAACATGCAGTTCTTTCTCGAAGATCACCGAACCATTCACAGCTCTTCCAGCTATTGGGGAGAAGTTATTAGGGATACGACCTTACAAATTGTAGAAATTTTGCAGCCATCCCCTCCCCATGCCATCTACATACAGTTGAGATCCTGCAAGAACTTTTCATGAAGTCCCTTTGCTAGGTAATCCAAGTCGTAGCCAGCTACTAGCTTCGCCACAGTAGAGTCTTTCTCCAGGGTTAGATCAGTGAAAGTCTTGCTTGTTAGTGTTGCATCCTTATCAAGCAACAGGAATTCCAAGCTACCTCCCACTTGCTGGAACAAACAAGCCAAACATATACAAAGCCACCATGCAATGTGCCAAGATACATCCATGAAGGTGCAGGCTACTTACCTTCACATCATTCATGGCATTGGTTACTTGTATACTAGTAGCGGTAATGGAGTCGAAAGTGGTTGGAGCAGAGACGGTTACCGTTTCATCCTTAAGGAATACATCATCTGGTACAAGAACACCGTTTAGATGGTCAAACCAAACTCCATTAACTGCTTCCAGGTTGCCAACACTATGAAGACCTGCGAAGAATATGCATGGTATTCAGTAGTTTGTAACACTGAATAGTTATTACATAAAGGAATTCACAGACTTGGAAAACAATCCAAATTACCTGTAACAACTTGGGTACTGGTCTTTGTGTGGAAGAGGGCACGAGCCTCCACGTCTACAGGGTTGAGGGGCTTCATATCTTCCAAAGTATCAATGTTGGGGGCAATCAAGTCGTCACCCACTTCTAGTAATCCTGAGAAAATACAATTAGGAATTAATATGTACCTTTTGAAATTATCAAGGTATGGCATAGGCAAGCAAGTAATATTTACCTTGGAATGAGTCGGTTGTACCATTCACAATCAGCGAATCTATGAAGTCATTGAAGTTTCTGCTATTGACGTTTGTTGTCGTTATTAGTGTGGTATCGACACCATCTACCGTTACCAGTCCATTTACAGTTTGTGTGCCGTAGGTCAGTAGAAGTGTAGAATCATCCACAGTCAAGCCATCAACTGAATGAAATGTTCCAGTAAGACAAATAAGACATTATCTCCAAATATTTAAGCTACATATACCAGTCCCTGGTACCGGCATTTCATAAAGCTTACACCCATCAAATGTCTTACCTGTACCAGAAACCTGCATGTTATCTGCCAGAACCTTGTTGAAGGTAACATCTGCCGTTATGGTGTGGTCCTGGTGGAGGGTTACTAGCTCGTTCATGGGAATGACGGCCGTGTCATGCGCCTTTATATTTGTAACAGAGCAAACTGCACCTCCTGCCAGTGCTACATCAGCAAAGGTCAGGTCCAGCTTCTCATTGGTGTTGTTCAATAGAGCAATGCCCGTGTAAGATGCCGAGACGCCATTGACCTAGCAATATTAAATTTTATTAACGATTAATTTTTACCCTACATTATAGCATTCTTTCACACCCGAGTCATGCTTACCGTGTTTGCCGTCAGAGAATCTACTGTGCTTGCAATACATCCTGGTGTACTGCAGGTAGTAACCAGGTTGGCAAAGTGAAGTCCATCTGATGGGAAGAGAAACCATTTGAAAGTGCAGGTACACACTAAGAATAATAGTATACAATATTCCATCATCACTCCTTACCCAGGTTGGGACTGTTAATAGATCTGGATTGAGAAACGGTGTTCTGAACGCCTCCTAATTTATTTCGAGAGCTTTTCTGTCGTCAATTAACGTCTTTGTGTCAGCATGGAAATTGTAGTCGACTACCATGGATTCAGATTCACAGAGGATCTAGTAGACAAAATGGAGAGATTATTTTCTAGATTTAGAGAACACAAGGCCTTGGACAGGTAAGGTGCTATATGGTCATTAGCAGGTTACTCAAAAGATTCCCATATAAACCTCCAACACGTTTCGATACCTACATCTCTCACTTCCGATACTGCCGAGCCTGCAGGAAGAGTAAGGCTGCCATCGATGTGTACAGGTTTTGTGAAAGTATAGCTTTCGTTAGTCTTGGGGGCCTGTTCCACATCCAAAACCAGCTGTGATAGTCCGTCATTGGTCATTTCAGTCTTGTATGCAGAACACCACTCAGCAGTAGCATTGTGGTAGGTCTGTAGGAAGCTTTCATTAGCATACAATACAATCCATACAATCTTCCACCTCACTAGAATCCTGTTGCGACTTTTTTTTAGACGATCCAAACACTTACCCCAAGTGGATTCTGGTAAGTGAACTCCAGGTAAGAAGAGGCTGGTCGTGGATTTGCCTGGCTTGACGACATCATGAAGAGTACCTCATTCAGGGTATTTGGAAGGTTTCCAATCCATGCCCATTCTACGCCCTAAATGAAATGCATGGGATTAGTGCAACTCACACAATGCAGTAGTTTCCCCAAAATCTGCCAAGGATCTTACCGGAGCCGACACTGGGATATTTATTCTGACGAATCTCCATCCATTGTACTGGTAGAAGGCCACACCAGATGCACCGTTTACCACTCCCAACAGCACTTCCCCATGCACTCCCTGTAGAGAA